GGGTAAGCTTTAAAATCTTGGCTTGCTTTTGCTGCCGCTGACGCTTTCTTTTTTTTTTTGACTTAGACGCACGTATTTTGTAGTTGTTTTGTTGTTCGCCCCCTCCAAATCGAAGCTATAAAAGTAATTAAGATAACGACTTTTGTACTGTTCGCATTCTAGTTTTTTGCTTTCATTTTTGTGCCCTCCGCCAATTGTCGATATGTATCGTGTGTATTTACTTTATAGCCCAGAGTTTTACAATATTTTCTCACTCTCGGCCTCGGCCTCGGCCCTCGCCCGGGTGCCGTTTGTCGACTTCCTGTTGTTTGTGCAATTTTCTTGAAATTTCATTTCTTAACTTTTGCCAAAGGCCTTTGAGAGACGTCGCTCCCTCCATGGGAAACTGTAAATCATATGAGTGATGCGGGTGGTTGCTGGGCCATGTGGGCTCTTGTTGCTCTTGTTGCTGCTGCTTCAGTTCATGTTGTCGTTGGAATAGCCTGTGGGGACAGTTGGGCTGCTATTGTTGCCGCCTCTGTTTGGGGGCACAACTTGACGGCTGTTGCAGCTTTTTTCTAATTGCTTGTCTGGCTATGGGTTCGTTGGCCATTTTGAGTTAGCTCTGAATATATCGATTAATTAACGGCATTAAAAGCTAAAAGTTTTATGGCAATGCCCCCAACCGAGTCGTACATATCGCTTCGGTTTTGATTTATTCGTTTATTTCCTTTTTTCATTTTGGCGCGCTCAGGAAGCGGATAATTAATATGCAAGGGTTATTTTTCGATTCATACGAAATCGGAGTGTTTAATTTAAAAAGATACGAGAGTGAGAAGATAGATTCAAATGATTCAAGCAGCATATGAATTAATTGAGTTGTTTTATTAAATAAATAATAATTAGAACTCTTTCTTGTGAACTCCTCAAGCTATCCTAATCGTAAATTGGACTATATTTACTTAAGTTAAAAGCAAGTTGAATAACTAAGTTTCAAATGTTCTTCGCTCTAAAAATGATTAATGACATTCGATATTATATCTGAAATGATATATACATCTGAAAAGCCAGTCAATTCAGGTATCAACTCAATGCACTGTGTGAAAACGAAACAGAATTTGCTCAAATATATTTTGCTGGATTTAATTGGATCATATTCCTGTGGCTGGTGCTTAATATAAATGAAGCTTTTAAGCCGCCCCGACTGGCAGCTTAAGCTTGCAAAATCCTCGCTGCATTTAACTGACTTTCATCAATTTCATTTTAGTTGCGCATCCAGCCAGGCCGCAACTGTTACCGACTTCTTTCCGTCTTGCCGGTGACCCACTTGGGCAGGAGATGGCTTTTTGTTGTTAAGGATGCGCTGCATTTAATATGCATGCTGGCTAAATGCCAACTGAATCTCGGCTTTTTTATTTATATATCTATATATAGACAGAGATATATATGAATGAAAACAATTGAGTGTGGATTGTGCCCCTTGTTGCATACTTTCAGACGCTGCACAAATGGGCTGAGGTCAAAGTAGGTTACCCCAGCATAACTGAGTAGAGTCAGTCAGTTGCGTATGCTGTTGATCAGCTTAATAAGTTGGCGGCGGGTGTTGCTGCTGTTGCTGCTATTGCTGCTGCTGCGGCCACTGCTGACACAATTTTCTTGCCACTTGCCACATTACACTCAACTCCTGTGGCACTTTCTTGGCGCGTGTTAATCATCACCATGCTACACGCCTCGTTGAACACTCGACTAAAGCAGCAGAATATAATTTCCGTTCCTTTTCCCTGTCCCTCACTTTCCACCTCTTTCCAACTGCCCGCATTGATAGCATTTTGCAATGTGTGGCAGCTTTAAGCGCATTCAAACACAAAAACGCGCTTGCGGCTTATGCTTCTAATTATGCACAGCAGATAATCGAGATGTTGGATGTGAAGTGCGTGCTAATTAAAAGGCACAACATTTATGCAATGCCAATTGCAATTCGCAATCGGGCACACACAAAGCCAACGTCGGCCGTCATGGCAACCACCAGCAGCAGTTGCTGCTGCTCACTCTGGCTGGCAAATAAATCGCATATAAACAGCAGATAATCCTGGCAACAGCATTGCACACGTCATTCATACCTTTGGTTCTTACTACTACTGCTGCTGCTGCAATCTGCTTTGTTCTGGCAGCTACAGGTGAAACTACCCACCTACACCTATATAGCATCCTTTTGGTTGCGGTGTGTCTGACTGCTGGACACATCGTCGCATCTGACTGGTCACATTTATTGATTTTGTACAACTCTTTCTTCCTCTCTCTCTTTATATATATATATATATCGTTCTCTGTGTGGGCTGTTTTTGGAGTGCATTCAATTAGAAAAACAGTTTTTCTAATTAGACAAAAATCGAGCGCAGGCTTCACATGCATTGAGCAACTGCGATGAGGACGTGCGAACAGGACACAGCATTTAAACCTATCAACCTATCACGAGATTTGCTCAAGCGCAAAGCTGTCCAAAGAGAACAGAATCAATATTTTATATTTTATGCCACATTTTCTATTTGAATTTCACTTGCATGAAATGCATTTAAATTTAGCGACCTAAGCTTTGTTTATTGAGAGGTTTCTTATACTTCTTAAAATAAGTTTGCATTTCAATAATTTTTACTGATGACATTTATGAAACAGGCAAATGGAAGCTTGGACTATACCAATCAGTATCAGCACTTGAGTTGATCCATCTTTTAGATAAAGAGAAAGTTTGAGAACTTAAGACTAGAAATTATTATACTCACCGATAACTTTTACCAGTTTCATGTCTCGCTTAAGCGCATTTCTCGTATTCTTGGTGCTGTAGAATCTAATTCACGTAGATATATTCTCTTAGCTCTTTTGAGCTGCTTTGCTTGACCTTCTGAAATTCAGACACTCTACTTCTTCTATTTAATTTTCAGCTTGAAGATATTTCCTTAAGTTGGCTGAGTTAGATCTATTGTTTGCTTTCTAAATTGATTCATATATTTCTTATTATTCTGACTATACAAATTTCAGTTAAGATTTGAATAAGCTCTCTCAGAGCAGTCTAAAGTAAGTTAAAGTCGAGTCAATTTTATATTTATCCTTATAATTTGGGACTGAGCTAAAAAATTAAATATTAATGGAGATTGTAAATAAGTTCTTCCTTATTCAAAAGCGGTTGGCATTTGTAAGATGAGCTTTTAATTATATATTTATGTGCATATAAAGAGGATGCTTCAGCTTCTGTTTCAGCCCTTAATTTTCGCTGCAATTAAAATTTGCTTCATTTCGTAATTAGTGAGCGATAAATGAAAACGAAACTGAAAATGTGTGAAAATGAGAGCGTCCTTGCAGCGAGCATTGCCTATAGCTCAAATGCTCTGTAGCCACATTTTCCTGGGCTCAATGTGAAAGCTTAACAAATGCGTGGCTGGAAATTGAGCAAATATTTGAAAAGCATATGCTTTGAAAACAAAATAAATGCCCGGCGCTTCTTTGGCAGACGGGTTCATTAGAGAGCGAGCAAGTTGTATGATACAGATGTTTCCCATTTTATTCAAATCATTCAAAACGTTTTTATTCTTTCCGACACGTTACATTATAATTTAAATTATAAAACTATTTAATGATAGATGCTATAAATTTAGTTTTTGCATAAGAAGAGATAATAAGATTGCTGATTTAACACCAATGTGGATATTGGCTCTTGAATTAGGCGTTTCAAGGGGTCCAAGATAGACATCGGTCTTAAGCTGGAAATCGACTTCTCTACCTTGCGCATAATTTACTAACGAACTTCTATAATTACTGTTATTGCAAAAAGTTGTACCATTCGGTGTTCTATATGTATTCCTATCGTCTCCATTTGAGAAGCTCTAATGAACAATGGAAACAAATTACACATATCACGCAAGCTGTGTGAGTGCGACTTACCGATAGGCCGATGAGATACAGTAGAATTACGATACATATAGTGTTGCTCATTTAATAGTTAGCAATCGAAAGCAGAAAGTCGTCACTGCAAAGTGAAAGAGGGGCCAACCAATGTTGTTGCCACGAAACAATATACTAAACAAATTGTAGAATTTTTGAGAAAAGTATAGCTTCAGGTTTGTCATTTTTGTACCGGAAATTCTGGCAATAAGACTTGTTATAAATTGGTAACTAGATTCGGTCTGTGTTTGTCTTTTGTTTAAATGTCTATATAATATTTTTGTTTGTATGTGGCAATTCATGTTCATGCTTTAATTAACCATGTTCTACAATTATTATTGTCAGCATTTTCATTTATTTATTTATGTACTTATTAGCATCCCATTCTTAATATTTGTAGTTTTAATTGATTTATTTCTGCGTAAAATATTTGATTTCAATGGACATTTGCGTTTAAACAAAAATCATTGCATACTTTGCGGCAGTACGAACTTTTTAAATTTGTTAATTGCAAATTTTTATAGCATACTTTTGTGCACGTCAATTTATTGTATTTGTAGATGGAATCGGCACTAACAACGTTGTCGATTGGCATCAACACATAATGGGGTATCTAAGGGTCATCCTTTGGTGAGGATGTCAGAGTTTTAGCTAACAAAGCTCTGTTTTCAAAATTTTGTGATAATTTGAACATATCCTTGCAGATTTTTATAAAAAATGGTGCGATGGGATCACAAGAACCGACCCTTCCGATTGACATTTGAAGATATGAAGATCATCTAAGAATGCTTAGCACATAAGGCAATATTGCTGTCGAAATGTTACTGACCCTGCTGGGCAACATGTCGTTCGGCTATGCTTGGCAACATGTTACTGGACGCATTAAGCTGGAGAGCGCTCAGAACCGCAATTGAAAAATTAATAAGAGGCACTTGAAGCGCTAATCACATGTAAGTGAAGCACAAGCCTGTCCCGGCTTACCCTCCAGGATGCAGGCACAAGGCTGGCACAGAAGTGAGAGGGCGTGGCTGGCAGTGTGCTAACAGAAAACGCGTTGAGGGTTGCAATTGCATTGTTTAACTCTTCACTTTTTATTCGATAGTTCGCATAATTTACTGCACAATAGAAAACTTAAGAATATAGACACTTAGTATTGTTTGGCTTTAATTTATAAAAAGACTTAAAAGCGAAAACCCTGGTCGCATTTACAGTAAACTATATCACAAGGACTACTATACATATAACTGTGTATAACTTAGCATTAATTTTTCACCTATCGTTCCTTTTGCAGTTCGATCAAATACGTTTTTTCTAAAACTCTAGACTGTAAACTATGCCTCATAGTTCTTGGCCTGCAGGCTCTTCAGTATGCCGAGGAGCTGCAGCGACTCCAGCGGCTCGAAGTCATCCGCATAGCGCATCGCCGAGCTCTTCGCCAGATCCCGTTCTCTGGGCATGTCCAATGTAAGAGGCAGCTGCTCAGCCATTACCGAATGATGCGTGATCAGCGCCTTTAGCGTGCTAAACTGCTTTCGTGCACCTTTGAGGCTGTACATCTCACTCCTGCTACAGTGCACCGCATAGCATTTAACTTTGTGCTCCAGACGGATGCAGAGCTCGTAGCTGCGTGGCGTGCTGCGGCGCAGCAAGAAGCAGCCGGGCGGAGCCGACTGCAGATGCTCTTGCGCCGCTTTCACTGTGATTCGCGGCTGATACCAAGCGCACTGCAGCAGCTCTGGCTCCTCATCTGCATCCTCATCATCCGTGTTGTTGCTGTGCGTGTTGAAGCGAGGCGTGGCACGTTTGCGTGGGGTGCTGCGTCGCCTGCTTCCACTGCTGTTGGTCTCATTGAGCAGCTGACAGCAATCGGAGATGCCTGCATCAGAGTCATCTTGGTCTTCGGGCGTTACCTCTTCACTGCCGCTGGAGTCGCTGGGCTGACTGCTCTGCCAGCAGTTGAGCGACAGCAGCGACTTTTGCGGCGATTTGTTGACCCGTTTCGGTGTGCTGCTCGGACTGGAACTACAGCTGTATATGGCCAGCAGCTCTGCCTCCTCGTCTGTCTCTGCGTCTGCCTGGTACGAAGAGTCGAGCAGGTCCTGCTGCAGGAGAATATCAGTATGGATTAGCTTAGACTTTCTTAGCGCTTTTTTCTCAGTGTTTACATACCTCGTCATAGTCGCTGGTCGGCTCCTCGCTTTGCACACGCGAGGGTTGCGCAAAAAGTTTGCGCTGCAAAAAGTTCTTCATGCTGTCGTAGACCTTGTGAGTACGACTCTGTGCGGGCTCCTCAGCTGTGGCTGTTGCGACAGCTGGCTGCAGCTTGTTGCTCCATTGTTGACCCCTATTGAAGGCCAAGTCCATATTCTTGCCTGCATTTGTGCCATAAATATCCGAATAGCCAGGGCAATTGATGGCATTGCGTAACTGCAGAGTAGACCAACAAAAGTCTGTGATTAGTTTTGGTCAAGTCGGTCATTGTGCCCAATGCGGCCAATGCTCCTTAATAAACAAAAGCAAAATACCCAAAAGACCCAGCTCCTATTTCACACGAACTCCTGCCTATGTAAGAGTCATTCCAGAAAAAGGTTTCTGCTTTCCTCTCCTTTTTTTGCCCTGATAACACATATTATGCGTACATTTCATTTCACACTCAACGCTTTGTTCTCCATTGTTCAGTGCCGCTCGAGAGTCTGTGCTAATGCCTCGCTCTCTGTGTGTTCATTTCTCTGATATCCTTGTAATGCGCTTGTTTCAGTTACTCCATTGTCCTGCAATTTTCCTGGCTTCGCATATTTACTTTTCATTCGCCTGATTGTATAATATATATATATATATATATATATATATATATATATATATATATACTACTTTTACATGAATATACTTAGGGGGTTATGGGTCTTTGAAGTGTTTTTGCTGCATTATCAAAATTGATTATTGTTTGCCTTGACTCATAAGTTCCCATAGCTTATAGTTTGAGTAGCTGTGCTCAACTTACAAGCAAGCTACATTCTGTCTGGCAATTATTTTTAGCAGCTACCTAGTTTAATTGGTAGTTGTTGTTGTTGTGATTCTACCTCTCACACACTTCTACCCACTCACTCACGCACACACAGCTGGATACACCCCTTTTTGACACTTGGCAAACAATTCAAATCACTCGATTTATTCACCTCTGCAAAAGTATTCAATAAATACGCCTAAAGGAAGGGGTAGTATAATAGAGATGCTGCATACAATGACACTTCAGCACGCACGCACACACGCACTCGAGTATGTATTATAAAATGGCAAAATAATGAGCATTCAATCGAGAACAAATCCTGTTTTCAGGTAGCTGTCAAACACCCTTATGTAAGTACAATAAAAAATGAATTTATGCATTAGACCAAATTGAATTTGATTCAAAAATAGACAGCCTACGGATTGGTAGCGGAAGGTTTGCCACACCTTTTCTTTGGGGAAATGCAATGTTTAAATTTCCGGGATCAATTTGCATGCACAATTGAATCGTTGCCCGTTCAGTTGTTGCTGTGTTGCATGCAACATTTACTCAGTGCCTTGTTGGAGCTGCCCTGACCCGAGGGAGCTACACGAAAACAAATAAATAAATCTGTTGAAAGCTGCGGCATGTAAGAAGCACTAAAGTTCTTTCTACTCATTTATCGGCTTAAATCAAACACAACAATGAAGAACGAAAGCCGAAACGGAAAAAGAAGGCGTTTAATGCCTCCACAAAAATATTCAAATACATGATTTTTAATTTATGCCAGAGGCGCAACGTGAGGAATTAGAAAATGTTAATGGAGCACAGCGAAGAGGTAAGAGGGAACAGCACAGAGAACTGGCTTTCAGTAGAGGCCAAAAGGTGTTTCTTTTTGGACTGTTCTTGCTTTAATAAAAGGTCAGCCCTGATCCTGCCCTGTGGAAAGGTAACTCTAATTGATGATGAAGCATGGCATTGTTTGGCCAGCGCGAGGTGTTAGCATATTTTTCTAATCAAATTGTGTTGCACAGGTAACCGAAAAGGTGCTCGCCAGCTGACAACAGTAACAACAACAATAACAATAGATTTCTAACGTGTCTACCTAGCCATGAGCAGTTGTTAGTTTTCCATTTATTGTGCATTTAGCCCTCACTCTATATATAGATGAGGGGCAGGGGCAGGGGTAGCTCAAGAAATTAGTTGAAGTGCATGAGTTGCGCTCTTCTTGGCTGATGATTTTATTGATATGTTGCCTTTTGTTGTGCCCCAAGAGTTTCCATATTCTTGCAGCAAAACTCTGGCATATGCACAAAATTTCCATGCTGGAAAATCAAACAGCTGCTGAAGTGTTTTCCGAACATAAAAGACCGAAGAAACCACCCTCTAGTGGGCAAGTCGCACACAAAATGCCAATCAGTACATGATATAATAAGAAACCGCAAAAGCAATTTTAAAAAAGGTATGGGAGCTTCTATACCTAGCTGAAGGTATATATATTCTTGAGTAGATCAAATCGAGTCGATTTAGTGTGATCCAGTTTACCTGTCTCTCTGTTTATCTGTTTATCTATACGTACGTCTGTCTGTCGACGTTTGTCGATCTTCCCCTAGAGGAGCAAAAAGGAAATAAACACACACACAGTCAATATAATTTGGAATGCCCCATATGTGATATATAGATTCTCGCAATCTACTTTTTGGCCAGCTTCCACACTTCTTTGCAAAATTAATTTACAGGTCATCTCCTAGTCGTGCCATGCTCTCCAGAGCACTCTTACATGTTTTTCCTTGTCTGCTGTAGCTGTGGCATGTCAGCTATGTTTTAGATACAACTGTAAATTAGTAATATGCAACAAACTTGGCTATTAGAATATTTGAATGGCGTTTCGTTTCGTGTGCTGCGGGGCTAATTTGACAGTTGGACAATACACTCGCACACACATACAGACTCATGTGTGTGTTTGGGCTTTCAAAATGTCAGAGCGAGCGATATACATGGAACTGCGTCTTGTTTATGACATTTTGGAACACTTCTGTCTGTTTGTCTGTCTGCCCCGCGGCGCATTTGAAAATTTATGAACTCACAAAGGGAGAGGGGAGGGGAGGTGGTGGCTACTTACGAGCACCATCTACATAACATATACCTTCCGCATATATATGCTACATATGAGCGTGCCCCAAATATCGTAAAATGATTTTAACATTTTTTTCCACTAAATTCGTTGTAAAATGTTTATAGTTTATAGTATTTTTTCTTTTTGGCTGGGTTAGTCTTGATATGTTGCGTTTTGAGGCGCTTTATCTGTGGCTGCAATTAGCGTCGCATTCGCTCGAAAATCCTTTGTTTGGACACATGTGGCATGTGGCATGTGGCACTGTGTGTTCTTTATAGCCAATTCAACACGTTCCACTCATTTTATTTCATTTCGGTTTTTGGCTTTTTTATAGGTGTAAAAAATGGGGTCATAACAAACGAATTGAGCTGTTTTTTCTTCTTCTTTTCCTTCTTTTTTATGGGAATTTAAAAAACGCATTTTTGATGAGTTTATTAAATGCAAATTAAAATTGTTGAAATTATTTCTGTTTTTGTTTCTCGGCTATTTTAATTGTATTTTATGGGCGTTTTTTATTGTGTTTATCATGTGGGCAGCAGCCATGGGAATATTTTTATTTACTGCCAGAGCAGATGATTTTCTCGAGTGGCAGATGAAAAAGATATGCAGATGCCGATGCCTATGCCGATGCAGAAACAAATGCATTTGGTGCATTGAACTCTTTGGCTTATAACTGTTTGGGTGTAAGTCAAAAAACACAAAAATGTTTTATAATAGATGCATTTCTGATAGAGAGAACTGTTTTCCCCGTTGTGCAGTTGCAGTTGCGTTGATACAACTTTTGCAGTTATTCGAGAAGTTTTAAACGGCGTGGCGCCTAGTCTAGTCTAGTCTAGTCTAGTTAGTTGTGAGCTATCTGTTTTTAGTTTCGATATACTCTTACACATGATACTCGCACTTTCAGACTGAATGTGTAAAGCTATATTGTTTTGTAGAGCCATTTGCTTCTGATACTAAGTTGTAAGTCATGCAATCGATTAGGTCCTGCTTCAGAGGAGTTGGTGCCACGCCTACTGACTTTATTAAGGAATTATGTAGTAAATCAATTAATCATAGATATATTATGCTTCAGGTATTTGGAGTAGAACTTGTTAGTGTATTTGGATCTCGTCTTCCCATGTCAAACTCGACTCTCGAGTGTTTTTTGCTGCCTTTGGCTCTGTCTAATGCATGTAAAATCCTTGTGGAAGCCATATGAAATACAAACAGCTCAACTGAGGCGAGTTAAAGCCACATGACGAGCTGATGATAACGATGATGTTGCCTGTTGTCGCTGCATGTTGCAAGTTACTCGTGGTTGTTGTTGCGTTGATGGCTAGACGCCTGACCAGGCGGTCGATTCGCTGATTAGGAGGGAGTTGAAAGCTGGCTCTATTTTTTTCCTTTGCATATTTGCATTACATTTGCCTGGCGTGGCATGTGGCAATCACCACCAACAACAACAACAATGGCGAAAATTTTTATTGAGTCGAGCGTAAAAATAACAATGCAAACGGGCAGACGGCATGAAAATAAGTGAAATAGTTGTTTACTCAAAAGAGAAACGACGACGATGGCGGGGCAGTTGCAAGTCTTGTTGGGGCTGGCACACAAAGTGAAGAGAGGGGAGTGTTTGGGGCAATATGGAGCATAAATAACAGAATGCATGCAATGCGCCGTCGCCAGCCATTTAATTATGCTCATCAATTTGCAGTCAAAGCCAAAGCTGCCTCAGTTGTTGTTGTTGTTCTTGTTGCTGTTGCAGTTGCACTTGCCCATAAATCTTAACGAGTGCTGGGCTGGCCTGACTGCCTGCACTTCACTTGCGTTTTGCCTTATGGAAATTGTAAATTAAACTGCACTTAAATGCAACGCAATTAATTTCAACTTTCCCAAGCAGCCGCCCGCTAAGAAATCAAAATTCAAATGCACATTGGGCATAATTTTGGGAAATTATATATATCAAATATATGTGTATAGATATATTAATAGATGAGCATTAATCATTGCCCTTGAATGATCCAAAATGCCGACGCATTTGCTGCTAATCGTTTGATTTAAATTTAGAAACAGCTCAAAGAAAATTATGGACATTGCCTCCATAGTCGACTGCCACTTAGGGCTCACAGCAGAAGCGCCCGCAAATGAAAATAAAGTGAAAGAGCGCCATGTAGAGGGCTGTTGTGCTGGCAGATACCCTTCACTCCCAAAGTGTTCTATTAGATAATCAGACAAATATTTATAGTGTTGGAATTTGGAATATGATCGCTATTATGAGTATATTTTATATACTCTCTAGAAGCCATAGAATTTACACATGCCATATACTATACAATATATATTCTTTATATCATATTATATACAAAACAATGTAATCTATGCCCTATGTTTAGATGCCTGGAGCAGCATACCATACACTAATCTGCTAATGTGCATGGGTATAAGAGGCAAACCCCATTAGCTGCACTTACAGTCGCCGCGCTTTGTCTGTTTGTCGATTTAGTTGCCGTTTTCGCTGGCAAATTTCATTTTCCACAGCACAGAAGAAGTGGAAAGAATCTTAAAAAAGCGGAAAAAAGAAATTTCTCATTCGTTTAATTGTTTTAGATTTTAATCTATGGCAATATGGACGCAGCACTTGGCTAGGCGACATATGTTTGACTTTTGGGTTGCTTTTCAGTTGCTAACATTTGCTTGACAACTTTATTAGTTTTGTTTCGAGTGTGTGTGTGTGTGTCTGTGTGCACTTTGTCTGCAGTTTGTTGCCTTATCGTTTTGGTACCGCGAGCCGCGTCGCCTTGCTTTTCTTCTTTTTTTTGCTTCAAGTGAAAAACTCGTAGAAAACTAATTGAAAACGTTTGTCAGCGACTGTAAACAAAAATGCTAGACGCTCTCTCTCTCACTCTTTCTTTCTCTCTCCTCTATCTTGCCAATAAATGTTTTTGTCTAGCATTTTCGGCGCGTTCTATCTCTGATAACGGATGCGACGCCGCCACAGTTTGGGGCATGTGGTAAACACAGAGCCCAAAGTGTCGAACGATTTATGCCGCATAGGCGTGCTTATATACGAAAATCACATCGAAGGCATTTTGTAATAAGCCAGAGTCTGACAACTCCTATGGCTAGAAATAGAGTTCGATTCAAGTGACAGAAGAACAGGCTAGGTATGCAAGAGTGTGAGGGAAGTGTATATATTTCACTAAATAAAGCAATTGAATATATCTTACAATATTTCTTTCAGAGAATCTCGCTTAACAATTTTTGCCACTCTAAGCAGTCAAGGAAATCTGTCATATTATCGAAATAGGAGAAACAGATTTTGTATATTTCTTTGCTGTTGGTTCCAGCACACTGAATTCCCGCAGCGCATAGGAGATATGCGACAATCCTTTTGGGAGTAGCTTAAATATCACCAAGTGCACAAATATTTTCATAGATCATAAATGTAAAGGAAAAAGAAATAGGAGATAGCACATGGAGCATCAGATAAGTGCCTTCAGCCAGAGACGGGTGTCAATTCCCGTGAAAAATGACGAAGAGCAGCGGAAGACAATGCTGATGGAAATTGTAATGATAAATGTACAGCCAACAGCAGCAAAAGGCAGAAGCCAAAACGCAAACTGTCATTCAGTTTACAATTACAAACTGGGAAAAGAGATAAGAGATGAAGTAGCACTCTGCATGGAGTTTGCTTAGATCTAACTGGGGAATTACTGAAATGAAGCGGTATTGCTCTCCCCTTCTCTCCATCTTTTCTTCTCTATTACTCTCTTTTCGATCTTTCTTTCCCTAAATCTGAGTTGCGAAGACTAGAGATTACAGATTAGAGATTTTGTTTCGCTCTGCCTCTCCCACTCACTCGTTCACTATAAAATACAGGTAGTTGAGTCTGCAGCTTAATTAAGTCATTTGCCTAATCAGCTTTGGCATCGCCTTCGTTGACGTAGGTGCTCAGCATAGACATTTCTTCCCCCCTATACAAATATATAACTAATTTGGACTAATGGTCACCCAGACGTCGCCATCTTAAA